CTCCCTCAGGAAGGGCGGGTACGGGGCGGAGGGGTGTAGGGGCATCGGTTTAACGGTTAACACCTCAGGCGTTCGGGCCCTGTCGCTTCCCTGCGCCTGCCGTGTATTGTTACCAAGTTAAATTAGAAAATATGTTCGCTTGTGTTTCGACTGGGCAGTTAATAAAAGCGAAGTGGAATGTCTGATCAAGCTCTTCAACACGGTGGTGGCCGAGTCCAGCAGCCGCTTTGCTGCCGTCGGCTTTGACCGTAACATGTTCAGGGACACCCTGCACAGCGCGTTTGGCATGACTGACGACGTGCTCATGGACAGAGGTGAGGCCGATCGGGCTAAAAAAGATGGAAGATTTTAGTTTTACGTTGTTGACCCGATGAGCGTGCCGAGACAAAGCAGTGCCATCTCATCCCTGTAAGGACAGCAAAGGAAGAGTTATGCTCTGGAGCTGCTGAGTAAAGGATATCGTTTTTATTTTTTTTCTTTACCTGGAATAGTTTTCCCTTAGTACGGATAGTTCACGCTCTTGTATGAGGGAGACCGGCAAGAGAGGCAGTTGTAGCGCTGTCCTCTGGCTTTCTATCGCAGTCACTGCAGTGTCGTGACAGAAGAGGGCAGCATGGTGTCACTTCGCTCTTTTCTCCGGTGGTTCCACTGGGAGCTGCAATCACTGCTGCTGGTGGACGGCTCTGTCTCAGGCTTGGAGATCCCAGAAAGGCATTTTGTTAGAGTAGGTAACTTCGGGAATAGAGGTGCTGTTAACAGCACTGAAGGGACTAGGCAGACTATACAGGGAGACGAGAGTAATAAGCGCAGTGACCCCTTGAAAATACAATGATTTCACGGATTCATAACATGGGGGTCATGTTTGCAGTTGCTGTGAAAGTTGCATGAATGATCTCTAATGTACAGGTGTCTAGAGGAGGATGTGAAGTGAGTCGGCCGTTCTCAGTCTCAGGCTGGCTGCCAAGAGCCAAGCCTTAGTTCAACTTTCTCCTGTTCTCTAGCAGGAGGGGTATTTAAATGCCATAAAATAAGAACTTGTTCCCACTTCATGCAACAAGTCAAGTGTGGCTTGGAAAATACCTTACATGGACACTTTCTTAAAAATTATTTTAATGCTTTCATACAGGGGGGCTGATTTCAGTTTGCAAAAGCAAACCTATTGTTTTCCAATTCCAGACTGCTTGGCAGTGCATGTAAAGGTGTTCCTGTAGCAAACTTACTAATTAACATTCTAAAATGTGAATTATTATAGATGTTAGCTGATGCTTTGAATTATATCTTGGATCTGAAGTACTGTTTACAGGCTGTATGAATAGTGAAGCTGCAAGATTGAAAGTTTCTTCAGGGAAGGAAGAAGAAAAAAATATTTTTGGTACATGAAAGACAGGAGAAGGTTATTTTTCTTTGTATATATTGTTTTTAGGATTACTTTCTCCCAAGATTTTCTGATACAAAACCTAGTAATTAAAATCCTCTTCTACATGCAAATATGCCTTAGTGTAAGGGATACTGGTTTATTTGGTTTATGTTTGCATGGAAGTATACTTCCTATAGTTGTTTATGTTGGGAAAGCAACAAGTCAAACAAAATGTCTTATCCCATCAGGATTCTGGAGTAGAAGATCAGTAATCTGAGGGGCAAAATCCCCTTCGTTGTTATGGCTTAGAAAGATTCAAGAAGGGTAATCATACCTTGATGAAAGCAGAGAAATATCTTGAGAAAAAATGTGTTTATATTTTCATTGAATTTAAGAAAATATTATTTTGTTTGTGTTTCCGTGTTATATAAATTTCAAATGTATCTAATACACTTCGTAGTGTTCCGCAGTTTTGATAGAGACAACGATAGCTGCATCAGTGTGGTGGAATGGGTGGAAGGCTTATCAGTATTTCTTCGGGGGACATTGGAAGAAAGGATTAAGTGTAAGGTTTATCTGTATGGTAGTATTTAGTAGTAATAATTGAATTCATTACTATTAAATTACACGTTGCTTTTGTTATAATTTATTAGTTACTCATAAAGTATTTAGTATTTGAAGAGTTTTCTTCTGTATAGTTTAATGCAATGAAACCGACTTCTGAAGTGGCTTCTTCAAGACCAGAGTTTTTCTGTGTAAACAGCCGTTGTCATAGCTGTCACTTTATTTTATTGCTGACAAAAACTAGCACTTGAACTGAAGCTTGTTCTACAGTATACAGTTTTGTCAGAATATATGTTTTTTTAATTCACACACAAAATTAGAAAGAAACAGGTGTAGCTCAAGGGTGATTTTGGCTAAATAACACAGGCAAGTCAACCAAGACCTGCACCAGCATTCATTTACTGGCACAATGGGGACACAGCACCAGTTTTATTAACTGCAGCAGTTCTTCAGCCTGAACGCATAGATGGAAAAACTGAGTCTGTTTGTAAAGTAGTCATGAGAACCTCCACAGTAATGATGGAGTAAGACAAGGGAGAAAAAAAAGCAAGAATCTAGAATTTTAAGAAGAAAAAAATCAATAGGGGATGTAGGGAAATGTGTAATAGAAAAAGGAGAACGACAGCATGTTGTTTCCATAGTTCCCAGGTTGCAGCATCAGCCATCCCTAATACACTATGTAAATCCATCTGGAAGGCAGCCTGGGAAGTCACAGCACTAGGATGTGTGCCCCGGATGTAATTCAGTATGTCAGTACAACTACAAGCAGTAAAATATGCAGCCCTGCTGTAAGCACAAGTAGGGTATACTAGTGCGTAGTGCTTGGTGGTATACAGTGTTGTCTGTCATAAATGTATGGCAGTACAGTTTTTCACTGTAGGCTTAGTCTTTGTCAGGAAAAAACACTTGTGTTCCAAAACTGAAGAGGTTGGTTGGTTTGTTTAAGTTGTGTGAAGTACAGCAAAGTTTATTACGGTCGTAGATTTCTGATTGCAAGGAGGTAGAAACGTTTAGAAGATAAATTAGGCAGATACTCAAAATACTCTGTTACAGAGATTTCCTCTTTGCATTACGGGATACTTCAGTTATCTTTTCCCTGCTAGTACAGCTTGTTCTTCTTTCTCCTTTACTTTTCTAACCCAGCTTCTGAAATAACTAGGATGTGTTTTGTAGGTGGAAAGCCCTTATGATGTAGACAGCTGGTCCCTGCCAGGGAATTTGGCTTCTAAACCAGAACCTCGTTTATATTCTAAATTGACACTTTTAGAGAAGTTAAGATCTGTAAGTTACTATGGTTTCTGTGAACTGAAGCTAATTTATTTGAGCAGGAATAGATTTTTAACAGTGAAGGGTAAATAGCCAATAATTGACTAGTATATATATCAAAATGTGACACATTTAATATATAAATATACATAGTAAACGTGGCTCAATAGTTGTGCTGTACGAGATACAATTCACATTTTCTGTCTATAGGTGACAGCTTTAATGGTGTGTGATATAGTTTATATGAACTTTAAATTGATTTATCTTTCAAAAAGACTGTTTTGAGGTTTACGACCTGAATGGTGATGGATACATTTCAAGAGAGGAAATGTTTCAAATGCTGAAAAACAGTCTTCTCAAACAGCCGTCAGAAGAAGATCCTGATGAGGGAATTAAGGACTTGGTAGACATAGCACTGAAGAAAATGGCAAGTACTTATTGTGGTACTTTAATGTCTTTCAAATATTCATTAAGTGAACCTCATAACATTCCTATGAGGTACCTAAATACTGTAAAGATACAGCAGGATTCTGAGCCATGGAGTTAGTTACATACTGGAGATAAACAAATCTCCTAAGGAAAGCCAGAAATACAATCCAGATCAAATGAGTCCCAGTCCAGTATCCTCACATGAAACTGTCAATTTATTATGTGAATGCATTATAAACTTTATGTATAAACTAGCATGTGTATGTGTGCATACACACATGTGCATGCCCAGTCAAAACAAAAGCCTAGTCAAAAGCAGAAAATTCAGGTGTAATCTGCATTTTTTTCAGTGTTAGGCATCTGCAGTAGCTTTATTATTAAGTACATTTGTGTTTTATCAATTGATCATAAAATGTCTTTATCCAATTTATATATTGTATTAGAATAATAACCTCAATGTTATTAATGTAAAACTTGTCTTACTGTGATTAATCTAGGATATCCAGATCAGCCAGGGACTGTGTTTCAACATTTTCATCGACTCAGGAAATATAACTTCCCCTCCTGGGGTGGTGGTCAAAAATCTCACTTAAAACCAGGCCTTGAATACCAACTGCTTCTATTTAACCCCATGTTTTCTTTCTCATACCCACCCTTTTGGCACACCCTCAGCTGAAAGGTCCGTCTTACCTTTAGTTCTTGACAATGCTGAGTCTTGTTCACATGGAAAACAAGCTATGACTCAGCAGTTTGTTAATCGTCGGAGCACCTGCAGGTTGCATCCAGAACAAATACCCTCATGTCTGGGTGGTTGATAAGTGGGCTATGCTAGTCCAAGCACAAGCAGTATCCTCTGGACATAATGAAATCTTCATATATGTAAAAACATACATAAACTAATCCTGTACGTAATCCTGTTGCATTGCTCGAAGAGCAGTTTTTTCTTTGAGTGATGGATTAGTTATTTGACATGGCAATTGCCTGTAGGTACAACAGCATTGTGACTACGCTTACATCCAGTCCCGTGGTAACCGTTTTCATACTTGAAAGTATTTGTAATTAACATGCTCATGCCCTGCTCTCCCCTGTGCTGAGGAGTGTAAAAGGTACTCTACCTGTGGCACCTGCCCACTTCTGTTTCTCTTAAGCACCCAGTGGTGGGCTTTCCTGTTCAGGAATCTGTCTGTCTACACAGCGCCTTGCCTCTGCTTTTCTGGCCATTAGAACCTGTACTCCCTGCATGTTCACCAGCTATGATTGTTCCATAGCTTGGTCTTCAAAAATTTTGATTTGGCTCTGTGCCTTGAACACTAGTCATATCCACACATATATCTTCACTTAAAGCCTTAACTTTATATGGTTTAAAGTACTTAATGCTCAACATAGCGTTTGTTGGTGGTTTAAGCTACCATGTCAGTAGAAAGAGGAGGTTTTCAAATTGCAGAAATACTAAAACCAAAAGTATGTTTTTTCCACCCCCAAAGGAGTATCCTGTTATGCTGAGATTCTGCAGTACGAAAGAAGTGGGCTGGCATCAGCATACTCTACCATATGCTTCTGGGTGCTGTACGTGAAAAAGACAGGGCAGAAGTATGCCTACTATAGAAACCACTAGGCACACTTATGATGTAAATACATATACAGAATATATCCTAACATTTTCTCCTACTTTAAAGTCACCTACTTCTAATTTATCTCATTGCAACTGTGCTTGAGATTTGTCCATGCAATTCTCAGCTCGGCCTCTTCCCATGTTAAAATTTTGCCTTCTCTGGGATTCTGTTAACAAAGCCATATGAGAGAGCTGAATTTGCTCCACGTTTTATGCCTTAGGTAGAGGCAAATGATACAGATCTTGTCCAAGCAGGACTGATGGCCCAAAGAAAATTATTTTCATATACACTCAAACTAAAAACAGAATCCACGTGAATAAAATTATTTTCATATACACTCAAACTAAAAATAGAATCCACATGAATAAAATGTTTGTTGAACAAAAAGACAGTTACTACAAGTGATCATCATTTGCTGAAGAGTTCCCTTCCTTTTGTAGGACTATGATCATGACGGCAAGCTTTCTTTTATGGACTTTGAAAAAGCAGTCAGAGATGAAAATCTTCTCTTAGAAGCCTTTGGACCATGTTTGCCAGACATAAAGGTACATCAACCTTGAGTTTAAAAAAAATGTGCAAATAACTTCCTGTACTATTGTTAAGGAGCTGTACGTATTATGGTATTAATTGTATTACAGGGGGCCTGATGAAGTCAACTGAGAAAAGCTTCAGTTGTGGGATATGTATGTGCTGAGTTCATATCTACCTTTCACAGCACCAGTGTTCCCTTATAGAGCCAAACACTGGTACCAGAGAATATAAGAACACACTGTTACTCAATGTTTGGTTGTCCTGGGGCAGCAATAGAATGAATGATCCACAACGAGCATCCTCTTGGACTAAGAAAATGAGACTGTTCTCTTGAATTGTATTCCCAGAGAGCTTTCAGATAAACAACTTTTATTTTTCTTTCTTCAGTGCCACTGGCAAGACTGCTGTCACCTCGCTTACAGCCTCTTTTCGGAGAGGCTGGTAACTTTCTGAAAAAAATACCTTGAGAGTGTTCCTCATCTCAGAGTGTGGCACTACTGTTTTTAAATTACATCTAACTGGGCTTTATTTATTAGCAATACATCTAATTGAATTCAGAATTATTTTTTTAAGATGGTAATTTATAACATGCTCATTTCCTCAGTGTTAAGTTCAACTGGGGAGAGCATTTCTGCTCTATAGTACAGAGTAATTTTTTCATAATCCAGTAATCATTATTCTATTTGAACTGCATGTCACTTTCAAATACTGAAAGTTGTGCCTTCGTAGAGATGGAAAAACAAAATTCTGATTTTGAGAATAGGGATTCCTAGAAACAAAAAATTGTGCAACACTGCCGAGAACACAGCAAGTTTTTGTTTTCTGGAAACCCACACTTCCTGCCAGCACACCTACCTGGTAGGCTGGAGGACAGCAAGAAAGGGTCTTGCAGCCATGATTGCCGGCTGTATTATATGACATCAGCTGCAAAGCAGCTGTTCCCAAGATGCCAGACTTCTCCTGGCAGGCTGTCAAAAGACTTTTAAGGGTTTGGGAAAACCTGGGTAAGTACTCTGGTTTTTACACCAGAGAAAAGGTTTTAAAAAGTTTCTGAACTAAATTACATTCACTAATCAGCATACAAAAATTACTTGTTTTCTGTCACTGTTGGTGATAAACCAGGTACACAATTGAGGGTAATGTTGGCAAGAGATGGAAAACTCAGCTTGTTTCTTGCTTCTGCTGTTTGTGCCCTCTGTTCTGTACCCTACCCAACTGTTGCCTTTTTACTACGTCTCTAATTTCACTGTTAAAAGAGAACTCTTATTTACATGTCCTTTCAAGCCCTAAAAGCAATAAACAAACTTCAGCTATAAGCTTTACATGAAGAAACCCTACATTTTACTACATTTCCCAGTGAGGTTATATTGGGGAATTTTAATTGTACCCCTTGACACAAATTAAATGCTCATTTGTACTTAAATATATTTTTAAAAAATGTAATGAACAACTTATTGGATAGAGTCCTACCACTGTAAGCGGTTCTAGTAAAGACGCGCCATGAGCTGATCCCTTAAATATGCTTGCACCAGCACCAATCCTGTAAGCATCAGCATGGGGCACCTTAACCCAGTGTTGGGTTCATCTCCCCAGCCCCAGTTCTGCTGCCCAAAGGTGGCCCCCGAATGCTCCCACTCCAGGATTGTTACAATGCTGTGGATATTTATCTCATCACCAAGGGAAATTTCACTCCTTTAGATTAAGTCATCCCAGTCTGTGGCATGCCTGCTTCTGGCCCATTTCTGCAGCTGGGCTTTCTTGCCCTCCATGCCAGAGCATTCTTTGGTCACACATCACCACTTTCTCCATGCCAGAGCATTCCTTGGTCACACATCACCACTTCTCAATTCACAATTTGAATTTCCTCTTCACTTGTAACTTCAGATGTTCTGACTGGTCTTTTGGTGATAATATTGTTAATGCTATAGAATTTACCTTTTCTAAGCTAAAAAGCTTAAATGTAAGGACTGTCCCTGCTTATACATTACAGTTTAGCATCTTTTGGGATAAAATTTAAGTCCTTTAGTTTAATGAAAATGAACTTTTTTTTTTTTTTTTTAAAATAGAGCAGCATGGCCTTTGAACAGAAAACTTTCCGGGAAATTCGTAAACTGTAACTCCAAGTGGAAGACTGTTGTAAGAGTTTTTTTCTTCACCATTCTTCATGGTATAGTAAAAATAGGAGCAACTTGGAAATATTACTAAGTTTCAGTATTCCTTTACTTTAAAGCTACTGAATAAATAGAATTTACTTGTGTCGCTCTACCTAAATACAATTCTTCAATGAGTTATGAAATACATTATATTATGAGGTACACAGGACAAGATTGCTACAATAATATATTAAACTGGTTTGTTCATTCCAATTTTTAACAGGGAATTTCTTCGAAATACAGTATAAAATAGTTTTATTTTTAACGTAAAAAAATATATTTTAAACTATATCCCTTAAAAAAAAAAAAGGACTGTTGGAAGATGCTGCCAGCAGTATCTATATTCTTCTTCTCTGCTTTACAAGTGGTTTGGCTGCGCTACTCTCTGGCTTTTCCACAGATGTTCTTGAAACAGAATCTGCTACCTAAATTGGGGAGGAAAAAAAAAAAGTCTTAGTGAACTGTGACCACTCCTTTTTTTATACTAGTTTTAGCCAAGGCCGTATCTCCAACATTTGAGCACTGGGAGAGAATTATTACTGTAATCACACTTGTATTCAAATTTCCTTCAGAAAAAGGGGAAAAAAATAACACCAAAGGCAGCATTAAACACAAGAGGTCAAACTTAAAAACCAGAAGTGTTAGCAGTACCATTTTTGTATTTTAACCACAGAAATTGATTTCAGATACTCATTGATAGTATTTTATATCTTATCACCCCTCTCCCTGCCACAGGTGTTTTCAAAGTAAGGTTTAGTGTGCTTATTAGACTCGAGTATTCCAAAAAGAAGAGGGAAGGGAAAAGAAAAACATGTGCTTTGACAAATATTTTAGAAATGTATTTAATGTAAAGGATGCTTATTTATCAATTTGACTGGAGATAAGCTCTTTGGAATCAGTCTAGTTTGTTGTAGTCAAGGGAGCTTTTCATATCTTAATTTAAATGGAAAGTTATACCAGGAGTGTTTGACCTGCTAATTGATGAATATCCTCCATAAAAGGTTATATAGCTTAAGACATGCTTCTCAGCATAAAGTTTGTGGTTCTGTACATCTTCTAATGCAGTAAGTAGTGTTGGAGGAAAATTACGTTCTGCTCTGACTTTATTATTTTTCACTCCCTTTCGGTCAGAAATCAGATACAAGGACCACACTGGAGTCAGCAGGACTACCTTGAAAGTTTTGCCTCCCCGTGTGGAAAAAAAGCGTAGTTTACTAAAAATCATTTAGGACCACGCACTGACGTTTATACTTTCTGAAGTGTAGTGTAAGAGGTTGGAGTAGAATGGCCTGCGGTATTCTGCATTATGAAAGAGTTAAGTAGCAAGAACACTAGCTTAAGTGGCAGATAAACTGATAATACTGAACAAATGTTGAATTAAGTTATCCATAAAAATAGAAACCCTAAGATAACAGGCACATAACATATATGTTTGAAAATATCAGAACTTTCAGAATCCGTACCTCTTTCAGTTTATTTCGAATTAATGTAGCTGAAGTATTCAAAGAATCATCATCCATATCCACTTTAGGCATTTCTGGTAGCTGCGGACCAATAATGACTTCAGTATTGTCCGCAGTTGTTCCAGTGAGGGAAAACTTGTTACCTTCTTCTCTCTTCCTCTTACGTTCTTGCAGGTGAGTTGTACGAGGCAGAAACCTATCAACTCCATTATCAATCGGAACTGTTCTTTGCTGCGTTAAAGGAGCTGGAGGAATACATCTTCCCGGCTGTATGCTTAGAGTTAGGGACGTGCTTTGACCAAAGTAACCAGAAGTTTCAGCACAGTTGTTATTATGGGGAAATGTCAACAGGCTCTGATTATGATTCGCAGGTGGATGCCCTATGTTGTGGGATACCCCGTAAGAACTTGCAAAGCAGGATGGATCCCAGTTACTGGCTGCAGGTGATCCTGACGTATTCCATGGACAGTCATGCTTGGAGTTGATGGTCTTCTTAGGGCCCTCTACTTTCTTTAACATGAAGCAATCTTTAAAACAACAAAAAAGTAGTTTTACTATTTTATGTCATGATTAGTTCTAACACATAAAAAAACATTTAATACAATTACAAAAGCAATATCAGTGATATTTCTTTCCCAGCCACCCCTCTGTGATTTCCTCAGTGGAACCTTTCAAACTAAAGTTTTTCAGCCTAGTCCCTCTGCTGGTTTGTAAGGAATGCCTGAGCAGAAGTATTTCAGCAGTTTTGAGAACCCAAGGAAAACATTTCTAATGTTGCAAATGAATGACTTTTACTTCCAGTTATGATTTCAAGAATATGCTGTCTTACAACATTGAAAAAACAGGTATTTTGCTGTTAAAATCAGTGATTTTACTCCCTTTTAATATCCTCACGCAGTGAAGTACATAAGCACAAGAAAGGGAAAGTCTATGCTTGGCCATTTGCTTTTTTCTGAGCTTGCCCAGCCTTTAGTGCTGCCTAGGAACTCTGCAGCCCAGTAGGCTTTGAAAACCCAGTCCATTCTTAGCATTCCTCCAATGCCAATACATATGCTGGAGAAGTTTTTTGTTGAAGGCTCTGGTATAGTCACCTTCCTTACAAACTGTCCCTTTGGGCATGCCTGAATAAGCTGGAACAAGGGTGAAAACATGATCCCAAATTTCCTGCCAGTGCTTGAAAATTCTGGTAACATTTTGAAAAGAACACAAAAGGAAAAAGAAATACTTCATTATTAAAGCTTAAGCATTTCTTTATTTTAGTCTTGACCAAAAGTGAAAAGTTGCTTTGAAAAAGATACAGCCTGCTAAATACTGGAAGATGTCTCCATTCTGCTGCAAACATACTTAAAATGCATCTTTAAAAGAGCGGGATACCAGGCACGTTGTTTAATGGGCACTTTAACCAAAACCCCACCCACCACTGAAGTGAGATGTTAAGATTCTATAGGCAATGAATTACAAACCTCTTTGATTTGTTGCTTTTGCTATATACTTTCTTCTGTCTTGCAACTTCTCCCTCGTTTCCTGGACTGTTTCAAATTCTGGAGCATAGCACACATGCAGCAAACTACCAAAGAAACTTCGTTCGTCCATTTTTTTCTTGGCCACCCTGAAAGGAATTAAATTATATTGGCAAAACTGAGGATTTTACTTCAACTCTCTAGAATCTTAACAGATTGTAAATAAAGAAAGCGTAAAAGATTAACACAGCAAGAGGCAGATACTGCCCTGTCCAATACCTGGCACATTGCAGTTTTTGGAATTTTATAAGATAAACTTCAGTAAATTGCTCTGCTGGATATTCATCTAAAGCATGATACTCTTCAATGGCACCGTATAATGCAAATTGTTCAACTAATTCCTTCATAACACCTAATGCAGGAACTCCTTGTATTAGTAAATAACGAGACTCCAAGTTGATAGTATAAACCTGGGAAGAAAAAAAAAAAATAGTGTTCACATTCTTGCTTTACTGCAAATATAAGGAGTTTTCTCTGTGTTTTCTGTTGTTCCTCATCCTCTCAGGGTGCTTAAAATCCCTCTTACTCTATTTTGACTTTGGACTCTTGCAGGGGCAGTAAGCGAACAGTTATCTGGGACCCCTTCATCACTGAGCAGGAACTGAACTCAATCTTCTTACTCAAAGTAAAACACAAATTAAGAGCTGACTCTTCTCTGCCAGGTCAGAGTACTGGCATCTGCTGAGTAAAATCTGTAAGTGTCTGGCAAATTTCCTTGCAACACTGACGAGTAACCAGTTAATATGAGGCACTGTCAAAGTAAAGGAAAAATCACTGTAAAACCTGTCTTGTTCACAGGTAGAGGGGCCACGTGGGTAAAACGCAGGGAGGACAGAAAAAAAAAAAAAAACCAAGAAAAACCCACACAACAAAAAGTACCAGGATTCCTTGGGGCAGATCATGTGTGTGCAAAGCTGCCTCCATGCTATGGTGACCAAACAGCATGTTTTTAAGACAGACAGATACAAGAAAGATGCTGAGAGAAGCAAGGACTTCCCCCAGGTTAAAAAAAAACCCCTCACTCCTCTTCCCCGCTTTGTGCAATGAGTGATGCATAACATAGGCTGCAAGGGAAGTTCTGTGACAGCTCACAACATACAATATGTAGCTAAACCATAAGATCAAGGGGAATTCATTCTGATTTTTTGTTAAAACCATTTAGATTGCATGAGCTACACATCCTTCTCAAAAAACAGCAAATGCAGGACAAAGAGGAGAACAACTCAGGGAACCAGCTGTCAAACTGCCATCATAACAGACACTCTTTGTAAATAAGTCACAAAAATTGTTGTGATAGCTTACTACCCGCTTGCGTTCTCAAGACAGGTTTGGAAGGTACCGTTATCGCAGACCATATGTTAACTGCACACACACAAAAAAATCAAATCCAGCATTTTTGCTGCTGTAATGAGACATGTTTGCTCTGCAGCAGGCAGGGCCCACGACGGGTGGCCTTCCCCCGTTCCCCCAGCAGCCGTGGGACACCAGAGCGTGAGCAGGGGATCAGCCTGCTGCACGCATGTCCTGCCGAATTGGCTCGGTGGCGTTCTGTGCCCCACTGCCTGCGGGCCAATAACGGCAGCGCTGAGCTCCTTAACTTCCCCTGCGCTGCTCTTAATCTTTGTTTTTATGTTTCACGTAAAACTAGACTAGCTGTGCTGTATGTATTTTTGAGCGATTAACTTACAAAATACGATGTGGAAGTTGACGACGCTCAAAGGGGACTACAACACAGCCATCAGGATCGTTTAGCTACTACAGGACAAGAAACGCCTCAACAGTAGGAAATAAACTCCTCCAAGAATAAAACCGAGTTCCCGCTTTGATTTTGCAATCCAAAAGAGCCCATTCCTCCCCAATGACAGGTTGATTTTTCTAGCCAGTACAATTAGAGTACGACTGTTTCGCACAGGGAGCGCGCCGAGCCCGCCTGAGCCCGCGCCCCGCTGCGCCTCAGAAGCAAGGCGAGAACCGAAAAACGCCCAGAA